AGACACATAACTAAAAAAAATTGCTTTTCATCGAGTTCCAAATTTTCTAATCAAACTTTACGATTAAATTTTTGATATGAAAACCGATCAATTGGCTGTATTGTAGATTTTGTCAGGTTATACCAAGTTTAAACGGACTACTATATAACCCTAGTTTTTTAGATATGATAAATTTGAAAACACTGCAACCAACTCAAGTGTGGGGTTGGCCATATATGGTCTGACTAGATGGACCAGTCCAAATAGACCTAAAAAATTTAGGCGCAAGAACAAAAAATTTGTTAAAAAGAAAGAAAATTAATAGAAAGTGTCTTTAATTGTTAAAAAGAGGAAAAGAAAGAGCCCACGACCCATGACAAGTTATGATGAAAAAGCATCGAGATCTTATTTTACAAAAGAAGAATCGAATTTAAGCTTTCTACTCTAGAGATTGAAATTGAATTTTCTTCATGATATAACTTTTGTACTCATATATACACGCACATGAATATGTTTATAGTGTGTCTACAACGTCAAAAATAATTTTTTTTCTTTTGTCAAGAAATGCTCATTAATTTTATGAAGATTTAAGCTCCTGGTTATTTCATAACCATATGTTTGTGTTTGCATTTAGATATCTTATAAGATGTATCAAATGGAAGTGATCTAGTGATAAAAGATCCACGAGATGCATCAATTTTGTTTCTACTTCCGAGTTGATTTCCATCCAAAAAAAAAATCATTTTTCTTTGGCTAGTCAAAGTAGTAACATGTTTAAGATAGTAAAATAAAAATTACACGGTCTATAATCATTTAAAAGTTAAGTCGGATTTCGGCTCGAATTATCCGTTGTTAACCCAACGAAAAAAACTAATGAGATATCATTTTGAAGTCTAACGCTAAAGTTTCGGATTGGAATGAAAATGTAGGTCAAAAGTGGCGATGAAGATGATTTGATCGATGCCTCATTCACTCTTTCCTTTTATAAAATTCCTTTATATAATATGAAAATTCCTTATAAAGTTCTCTTACAAAACTATTTTATTAATTAAAAGGTAACTTAGCAGGTTCGCACGCTGTATCTTTAATCTCATGTCATCACCTTTAACAAAAAAAATAAAAAAAAATCCATACGTTGATGATTTCATCTTATTATATGCAA